ATTTTTTTTTTTCAGTTAACATTAATTTTATTTTATTTCGTTTTTTTAATGGTTTTAATTTCAGTTTTAATTATCTATAATAACCCTGCTTCTAAGTTGTGAATTTTATAAAGGTTATAATGTTTTAACATTGTCTCTTAAATTGCATTCCGTCTATTAAATCTATAAAAAAATGACGACGAACTACTGAAATTCCATCAGATCCATCGTATCTGACCAATCAGAGTCAGTTCTGAGCATGTAAGCTCCGCCCCCTTTCCAGACATCTCGGTCTCTTGCATACTGCTATTCCAGCTGTGTGCTGTGTTCCCTCAGGTCCTATAGACGAGTACATGCTGCCGTTTGAGGAGGAGATCGGCCAGCATCCATCTCTGGAGGATCTTCAGGATCTGGTGGTTCATAAGAAGATGAGGCCTGCGTTTAAAGACTGCTGGCTCAAGCATTCAGTGAGTGACGCGCTCCAGTCTCTTCATACTAATACAAAACCATACGGCTCAAATCATCTGAGCACAGTTCTTTTTCATACAACCAGGAAGATTTTTAGTGAATTTGCACACAAAAGTTGACAGAATTCTGTAAATGGATATATATATTTATTTATTTATTATTATTATTATTATTATTATATTTTATTCATACAATTTAAGGATCAATGCTAATACCAGAAGTATCCATATGTAAAGATGACTTGAAATTTTATATTTATTTTTACAATATATATATATATTTGATTATAATACAATGTTTTATTCTTCCAAACATAAAAATTATGAAATAACAAAAAAATCATAATAATAATAATAAACTAGATGCATAAAATTCACTTTAATTTCCAGAGTAAAGGCACCATTACCTAAACATTATGACTTTAGGTTTACAAATAAGTCTTATAATAAATATAATAAATCACTTCATTATTTACACAATTGAAAAAAATAAAGCTTGCTTCCTATTCTAATAGACATGCCATTGTATATTGAAGATATTGTTGCCTCTGTGACGATTTGTTTTGTTCCTCTTTTGTAAGTTGCTCTGGATAAAAGTGTGCTGAAAGCATAAATATCAATTATTTATTTTTTTATTGAATTATTTATATTTATTACGGTGAAAATTGTGCTGTGATTGTCAGCATTGTCTGGCAAAAAAATTAAAAATTTGATCCAGTGAAACTTTAAAAAATTTTTTTTTTTTTTTAAAGATTTAAAAAATTAAACATTTAAATGTAAAAATGATAAAAACTGAAAACTAGAAATCTAAAATATTAGGGAACTTCAAAGTAGTGTTATTTTAGTATAATTGAGATACTATTAATTTTTATTAATAAGTTTTTATTTTTATATTTTACATTTTCATTTTAAATTCTAGTTAACATTTTTGTCATTTTCTTGTGTGTTTTTGTGATTTTTAGTAGTTTTTTTTAATATATATTTTTATATTTCTATTTTTTTCTACAGTTTTAGTACATCACGCTAAACTAAATGAAAATGAGAACCGTTGCTTTTGAAACTAGCTGTGATAAGTTTGTGTCCATATGTGACCCTGAAGCACAAAACCAGTCATAAGGGTCAATTTTTCGAAACTGAGATTTATACATCATCTGAAACCTGAATAAATAAGCTTTCCATTGATGTATGGTTTGTTAGGATCGGACAATATTTGAAAATCTGGAATCTGAGGGTGCAAAAAAATCTAAATATTGAGAAAATCATCTTTAAAGTTGTCCAAATTAAGTTCTTAGCAATGCATATTACTAATCAAACATTAAGTTTTGATATATTTACAGTAGGAAATTTACAAAATATCTTCATGGAACATGATCTTTACTTAATATCCTAATGATTTTTGGCATAAAAGAAAAATGTATAATTTGACCCATACAATGTATTGTTGGCTATTGCTACAAATATCCCCCAGCGACTTAAGACTGCTTTTGTGCTGCAGGGACACACATTTTACTGTATTTCGGTTAACACAGTTCAGATAGATGGTGTGTTTGTGCGGCGCAGGGTCTGGCGCAGTTGTGCGAGACGATCGAGGAGTGCTGGGATCACGACGCGGAGGCACGGTTATCAGCCGGCTGCGTGGAGGAGCGAATCTCTCAGATCCGCCGCCTGACGAGCGTCACTACCTCAGACTGCCTGCTTTCCACCGTCACCTCGCTCACCAACGTGGACCTGCCTCCCAAAGAGCCCAGCATCTGACCAGATTTTTAAACATGCATTCAGGTGCCGACAAATGAATGCCGACCGGCGACGTTTCAGTTCTGCCGATTCCGTTGATTTTCCTCGCTCTTCTTCTTCTAGATTTTCCGTTCGGATCGACGAGCAACCAGTTCATCTGAAGATTCAACAGTGCTGCAAACCCCACGAGGATCATGATGACTGTTACACGCGCAACCCGACCTCCTCGCCGGGATTTCGCTTTTTATTTCTCTCTCTCTTTTTCTTTCCGACAGTGTGCTGTTTGGAATTACGGAAAACGTGTCTTTTACGGAACTAACGGGTGTTGAGGAACACAACGGAGAAGACATCTGGACTAATTCCTTTCTTTCTTTCTTTATTTCTTTTGTTTCGGGTTTTATTTCGTGGTGGGCTTTTATCGAGTGGATATGGCTGGAAACTCTTGCATGTGGAAATATGGGAGGTTTGGTACGGAAATCTTTCTCAGGTATCCAGTGTCAAGGGGTCCATGACTGCCTATCCCACGTCATTATAGGACAGAAAGAAATATAGCGGTGCCCTGATGAATTTAACACTAAACATGCAAGACCGTGAGGGTGTGTGTGTGTTTGTGTGTGTGTGTGTGTGTGTGTGTGTGTGTGTGTGTGGG